TATATTTTATATATATATATATATATATATATATATTAAACAAAGATAATTTATTTCAGCTATTTGCCAAGGCAACATTTTTCATTTAGTTTAAGTTGAAGTACTAAAAAAACTAATATAAGAAACTAAATAAACTCAAGCTGAAAACTACAAACTAAAACTTTACACACACACATAGATTAAAAAAACAATAATAATAATAAATGACAAAAACACAACAAAATTACTAGAACTTTAACCAAAATTAAACTGAAAATATAAACATTATTGTAAACAAATTGTAAACACAAGTATTTCTTCTTTTCTTGAATTATATATTTATACAATAGCAAGTCTTGCTACTGTGAATTTTTTTATATTTTTTTTTACTTTGGAAATACACAATTTTAATCAATAAACTTTTGTGAGGTCTTGACTGTCCGCTGTAATGTGGTGTGACTGTGGGCTCATGGGAGTTGTAGTTCAATAAAGACATGAGCGATAACCTCTCCACCTCTCTGTGGCTCACGCTGCTAATTTAGCTTAGAGGACAGTGGAGGATGAGGAGGAAAAGCAGCATTAGCGGCTCGGTAAAAAAATCACCATGACTGGCAACAGGGATTAAACTTCACCATGGCAACGGAGATGTCCTGACCTGACACTTGGAGGGTCAGGAGTTCAGCGGATGAACACATCTAGATAAACGGGAAATGGCGAGTGGAGCTTGTAGATAGTCCCGCAAAGTAAATTCATCTGAAAAAGGACAAATTTAAACCCTGCCTGATTCACTTCATGCCTAACACCCCTTAACCATGGTAAAATCACTGTAAGTGGCTTATTGCTTTTATAAAACCAAAATCAAATCCAAAATTGTCCCTGTTTACTTTATTAATGGATGATCCTGGTCTTACTGGGTTGGATAGAGATGGATCCTCATAAATGACTGATTTTTGCAAAGGTTCTGCACGATCCTCTTGTTCGTAAACATTCTCAGGGTCTGAATTGGGCACTGGGCCGGCTAACCAATCAGAGCACATTTCGTATTTCAGGAGGGGTTTCATCGAAACAGGAACTAAACAAGAGTGTTTGTGAGAGACTGGGAAGAGAGGTTCTGCAGTAGTGTGAAATATGTGAAAAATAATGCGTTTTTGGAACAGTCAAATATGAAAACTTTATGAAGACTTTATGAAAGGGCATAATAGGACCTATTTAAACTGACCTATTCAAAGTTAGTTAGTATTGCATTAGGAATAATTCATATCTGTGTCATATCTGTTGAGTTTTACATTAATTTTAATATACATGTAAACAATAGTAAGAGTGTCGTTTTTCCTCATAAAACGGTTAGTTCCAGTCCTTGATTCTGATTGGTCAACAGTTGTGTTTTATTCACGATAAAGCACGGCTATGACTGCTTCACTCAACGCTTCTGTGTATCACTGCGCAACACCCTTAGCAACCATCCTTGGCAACATAAACTATCAAGTATTTTAGCAAAATTAGCTGTTTGTTATTTATTTAATGAAGTATGAGTGACCCCTGCTGGCGTTATGTTGCATCATTCACCTTTAATTTTGAGGCCACGCCTTTCCCGCTGTCAAAGAAACTCTTCTCATGCGGGAGATACGTTGATGCGCGTGTTTGCATGGAAACCCACAGTTTCCGTGAGAAGGGAATATTACTGTATTTATTCGTTTTCTGTTTCAGGTATGATTCTGTATTTACATCAATTTACACTATACTCTTGCAAACTCGCGCTGTGCTGCGATTCAGTCTTTTTTTAAAGACAGAAAACAGATGTTTTCTCATGCTGAGAGATAAGCAGATGTATGTGTGTGAAAAAAATATGATATATGGTGTTTAAAAAATAAATGACACAGCAGATGAGACGTTGTATAAAAGCAATAAGGTACTCGAGGCGTGCTGTATTGTGAATAAGTCACAGCTGAAGGGGTTGCAGTGACTCTGCTTCGCATCGTGCACAACACTCTTCAGCCATGATGGACATTTATTTTAAACGTTCCATACCCCACTAATAAATCACAAAGAAACCACAAACGCTGTGTTTTTCTTTGTCACAAACAGGGTTGTGTCCCATCAGAGACTCTCCACAGCTCTCATTATCCACACGCAGCTCGAGTGAGGACTCAGTCAGGCTTTAGCGGCCGTATTGTGTAGCGCTGATGTGAGCGGACGTCTGAGAGACAGAACGAGACCAAAGCAATAACTTTCCGCTAACAGCAGTGGCTCTGATTGAAAATGTTGTGTGTGTGTGTGTGTGTGTGTGTGTCACTCTTCATGCAGTAAATGGGCCGGTGTGTGTGTGTGTGTGAGTCCAGCTTTGGCAGCTCTGCCAGGCCTCCTTGGCCATTTATTGAGACTGAGAACGTTTCCTTGCCCGCCTGTAATGAACCATTTTATGATTCATTATCCTGCCGATGAATTCCGCTGCCAAGTCTGCAAACTTTCTAATTAGCACGGGTCAAACAGCCACACAGTTTCCATCTAATTATCGACGCCTATTACTGAACGGACACTGGAGGAAAGCCATAGTGAGGTGGGTGGTGCGATGCTCAGACGAGGTGTTAGGAGGAAAGCAGAAAAACTCTAGTGCTCAGATGTTGCTCTTTCATAACTCAGGAGTCTTAATGAACGTCTCATTTATGTTTAACTTCTCAGATATTTTAATGACACTTTACAAAAAGGTTCCATCAGTTAGTAGTTAACATAAACAATGAAAAATACTTCTAAA